ACTATCACATAGATTATTTTCTATGTGCAGGAGCACATAAATTATTTTCATGAATCAAAACAGCCGAACAAAATCAAAAAATTTCCTCAATGAAAATATGACACTGTACAGCAGTAACTCTTTATTCTGTCCTCTGTTAGACTTATTTATTAGAATATGTAGGCATCTTTATCTCAATTGTAATAGGAAAGTCCTTCTGTGACTGAAGTGTAACGTACTCTGATCATTATTGATCACTAGTGATCAGTCTTTTATTGTGCATTGTTGTGCTATAGTACTGTAGAAAGTGGTGAATATTAAATGATGTTGAGTGAATAAAGTAACATGATAGATAGCTTCTAATCAATGATAGATAGTATATACAAATTATCAATGGAATGTCTAGTACTACAGATACTGTGAGATACATGTAATATGAGAGGCTGAAATGTGATCTTTCTTGTGAATTCTGAACTCAATAAGGAAAGGAACAATTAATACTTTAGCAAACACAATCACTCCCACCATACTTTGTCAAATAATTCTTTAATGTAGAAGTTTTTTTTATTTCTTGTACAGATATCGTCATGTATGCAGAATAACAGTTTTTGTGCATGAGCCATGAGGTATAATACCTAGAAAAACTTTAACAGTTTGTTATACACGTCCAGTGTCTTATCTAAAGAAGGTGGACAACTGATATAGTTTCACCGACACTCAACAAGAGAATAGACCACATGCACTGTGCTTCTGGGTGTGAGTATGTCTAAGTGAGTGTAAGGGTACGCATATATGTATCATAATATCTAAGCAACACTATTTTAAAAAGTAATCATTATAAAAAAATAAAGTAAGGTCTAATGTAATCACAGTTGTATCGCATTAACTATATTCTGGAAATGTTAGGCTCCTATGTTACATAATCATCAACATTTTCATTGACATCTGGCTCTTCATATACTACCTCTGCAGTCTTGAGTATACTATATGGTTCACATACTTGCATTGGTATATCATCAACATTAAATCTATGATAAAAAACAGTACTACCATACAAGTCTAATAGTGCTTCTTAAAGAGTTACTTATTTGCTTGGTTAACAGTGACCCTAGGCTATAGGACTTGAGCATGCAGTACCAGGACAAGGATTAATTTACTATGATCAATACAGCCAATGCAGTATTATTTATCCTTATTCTGATATCATAAAAGCTTTGATATCCAGTTTTAATACAATTCATGCAGTTTGTATTCCTGAGGATACCATACTGTCATATCAGTAGGAAGACCAGCAACAGTAAATGATTCTATTTCTGCATATCCTACAAATGAAATATTATTATTAATTCAGTACAATATCTAGTCTCCTCTTATATATATATAACTGAATAGATATATTAGCAAAAATGTTAGGATCTGAACAGTTAGTGGGTAGACAACACTTGTACCAGCCATCACCAGGTAGCTGAAGATAGTCAGTGATAGGTATATATGTGAAAACTAGCTGAGACTAGCACTTGACCCAACAGTGCAGAAAAGATTGGAGTTGCTGCCAGGACAAGGAGCTGCTCCATTAGGACCAATCCATTGTCCACCATTCAGAGTAGCACCAAGTAATCCAAACTCTAGAGGAGTTGGTCTGATAATAGTATCTACAATATATGATGCATTAGCATAACAGTTACAATCATGCCTCAGGTAGATGCCTATAAAAACCTAT